ACCTTGGGCAGACACCGTACACAGGTTTGACTGTACCTTGGGCAGACACCGTACACAGGTTTGACTGTACCTTGGGCAGACACCGTACACAGGTTTGACTGTACCTTGGGCAGACACCGTACACAGGTTTGACTGTACCTTGGGTGGTCACTGTACACAGGTTGGACTGTACCATAGGTGGTCACTGTACACAGGTTTGACTCTACCTTGGGCAGTCACTGTACACAGGTTTGACTGTACCTTGGGTGGTCACTATACACAGGTTTGACTGTACCTTGGGTGGTCACTATACACAGGTTTGACTGTACCTTGGGTGGTCACTATACACAGGTTTGACTGTACCTTGGGTGGTCACTGTACACAGGTTTGACTGTACCATGGGCAGACCCCGTACACAGGTTTGACTGTACCTTGGGCAGACACCGTACACAGGTTTGACTGTACCTTGGGTGGTCACTGTACACAGGTTTGACTGTACCATAGGTGGTCACTGTACACAGGTTTGACTCTACCTTGGGCAGTCACTGTACACAGGTTTGACTGTACCTTGGGTGGTCACTATACACAGGTTTGACTGTACCTTGGGTGGTCACTGTACACAGGTTTGACTGTACCATGGGCAGACCCCGTACACAGGTTTGACTGTACCATGGGTGGTCACTGTACACAGGTTTGACTGTACCATGGGCAGACCCCGTACACAGGTTTGACTCTACCTTGGGCAGTCACTGTACACAGGTTTGACTGTACCTTGGGTGGTCACTATACACAGGTTTGACTGTACCTTGGGTGGTCACTATACACAGGTTTGACTGTACCTTGGGTGGTCACTATACACAGGTTTGACTGTACCTTGGGTGGTCACTGTACACAGGTTTGACTGTACCATGGGCAGACCCCGTACACAGGTTTGACTGTACCATGGGTGGTCACTGTACACAGGTTTGACTGTACCATGGGCAGACCCCGTACACAGGTTTGACTCTACCTTGGGCAGTCACTGTACACAGGTTTGACTGTACCTTGGGTGGTCACTATACACAGGTTTGACTGTACCTTGGGTGGTCACTGTACACAGGTTTGACTGTACCATGGGCAGACCCCGTACACAGGTTTGACTGTACCATGGGTGGTCACTGTACACAGGTTTGACTGTACCTTGGGTGGTCACTATACACAGGTTTGACTGTACCTTGGGTGGTCACTGTACACAGGTTTGACTGTACCTTTGGCAGTCACTGTACACAGGTTTGACTGTACCTTGGGTGGTCACTATACACAGGTTTGACTGTACCTTGGGCAGTCACTGTACACAGGTTTGACTGTACCTTGGGCAGTCACTGTACACAGGTTTGACTGTACCTTGGGCAGTCACTGTACACAGGTTTGACTGTACCTTGTGCAGTCACTGTACACAGGTTAGACTGTACCTTGGGCAGACACTGTACACAGGTTTGACTGTACCTTGGGCAGTCACTGTACACAGGTTAGACTGTACCATGGGTGGTCACTGTACACAGGTTTGACTGTACCTTGGGTGGTCACTATACACAGGTTTGACTGTACCTTGGGTGGTCACTGTACACAGGTTAGACTGTACCATAGGTGGTCACTGTACACAGGTTAGACTGTACCATAGGTGGTCACTGTACACAGGTTAGACTGTACCATAGGTGGTCACGATACACTTTTTTGTCTGTACTTTGGGTGGTCACTGTACACAGGTTTGACTGTACTTTGGGTGGTCACTGTACACAGGTTTGACTGTACCTAGGGTGGTTACTATATGCAGGTTTGACTGTACCTTGAGTGGTCACTATACACAGGTTTGACTGTACCTTGAGTGGTCACTATACACAGGTTTGACTGTACTTTGGGTGGTCACTATACACAGGTTTGACTGTACTTTGGGTGGTCACTATACACAGGTTTGACTGTACCTTGGGTGGTCACTATAAACAGGTTTGACTGTACTTTGGGTGGTCACTATACATACATGCAGACACAACTGTACTTTTATGCTGTTGATTTTTCAGTGAATCCCATATAACAATATTCTGTCAGTCATAACAGTTTTCTTAAATGTTTACGTGCTTATCATGAGCGGCGATAACAATAAACATTAAATACCCGAGGGCTTATGGGTAGACACTTGTTTGTAATCAACGAAACACCATGGCTGTCTGCCACATGTACAGATGATGACTCCCTTCCTTTTAAGTATTTATTTAGTATTTTATTTTTTTTTTTTTTTTGTCTTTTTTTATGATTTTCAGTTATTCAATATGTAAAGCCGTCTCCAGATACAACTCTGAATACTTATTATGCAGCTTGCTCATTTACATATATTGGTGCCATGGTAGGCAGTAATTGGGCTCTACGCTATGTCAGTTATCCTACACAGGTATTAGGGAAGTCATGTAAACCAATACCAGGTAAGTACTGTCTCTGTAATCCTATTATTGCATGTATTCAGGGAACAGCGCCCTCTTGCCCTCATGCCCTCATGCCATGGCCATGTGCTCCCTTACCCCGGGGAGCAAATGCTCTGGCAACCATAAAATTCTGTTTGACCAGGGATCGCCGCAGTTTTCAACTGTGACCTGTCTGATAGTAATTTTGGCCGCAAGGAAGCCATAGAATGCTCCATTTTAACTTAGAATTATCAAAAACTCCACACCCTGGTGGGGAGAATCCTATCTCCCCCACTTGGTGGTGCTGCAGAATTGCAGTGCTCCCTCGTGCATTTTTTTTCTAGAAAAATCCCTGTGTATTTATATATAAAAAAAACTGTAAGTTGTAAATATCTTTGCATTTACTCAGTATTGACAGTTGAGTAGAATCTTATATTCAAGGAAGAATTTGAATTGTCAACCCAAACAGAAGCTTCTCTCTGATTGGTCCGACTGTTTAAAATTAGCGTTGGATAGCCAATCAGGTATTATGTTGTAAATTTCTTTGCATTGACTCCATATTGGCAGTTGAGTAGAAGCATATATACAAGGAAGAATTTGATTTGTCAATACCAACAAGCTGCTTGATTGGTCTGACTGATAGGTTGGGTAGCCAATCAGGCACAATCTTGTAAGTAGTATACAAGGAATAATTTGATTGGTTGAAAAAACCTTTCAACAAACAAGCTGCTGTCTGATTGATTGCTTGTTTTGACAGGCTTCACAATGATTTGAAATTGGCATAGTATCGACTGACGAACAGCCTCAGATTTGTAATATGTAAATCATGTCCATATATGGTAGTTATACATGTAAACAAATTGTCTTTGTCATGTTTTGTCTTTAATAACCAGAACATGACTATTATTCATCCAAAATGTTATTGTCTTCATGCAATCTTAATTTTACATTTCACACCATGTATTTACCATATTACCATATAAGTATTTATCCAGTTCACAATTAATCACAAGATTAACAACAAATTGGCTTTTTCGATGTTTGTTTTAATAAAATTGCTCAAAATACAACCATGTCATACCTTGCCAAGTAAATGAGATTAAATCCCATTTTATATTTTTTTTTTCATTTTTCATAATTTTATATTTTTATATTTTCATAATTTGTTTTAAATATTTTTTTTTAATTGTTTTACTGTACACGCTTTAATTATTCACAGATTTTAAATTTCGCTATTTTCGCTGAGAACAAAATATGCTAAATTAATTATTAGTCATATGAACAAATAGAATAACAATAGAACATATGGTTTCCCTGCCATGAACATCAAATTAAAAAAATTAAATTCTAGTGAAAATAAATGCTTTCACAGTATTCTCACTACTGTACATTGTTTTTGTTTCAGTGATGATACTGGGTGTAATATTTGCCAGAAAACGTTATAATCTTGCCAAGTATTTGTGCGTCTTATTGATCGTAATAGGCATCACGTTATTCATGTATAAAGATAACGTGTCTAGTAAAGACGATGATCATACATTTGGTATGGGTGAAATGCTCTTGGTAAGTACTGTATATGTTACCACTATAATCTTTTAAAAACCAAAACAGCAACAGTACGGTCCAAGCGTAACTTGAAATTCATCTACCTGTAAGCTGGCTTGCTTAAAGCACGGTGATCGTCACGTAGCCCGTGTTCGAATTTTATGTAAATTATTGATGACAATCATACTCACTTTAAAAATGATAAGTTTTTATAAAAAGGCAATGCCAGCTACTAGCCATCTTGGAAGTTGAAGTGTGGCGGTCGTCGCGCAGCGCAGCACAGCGCTTGTTCGAATTTCATGTAAATAAACAATGTATTTTACACGCGTTGTATACGTCGCTGTGAGTCCCTTATCGAACAGGACGCGGCACAACGACTGCCGCCCTTTAACTGTCAAAACTGTCGCATATCTGAATTGATCTGTATTCCCTGGGGGCGGAGCTATGTTACCGTACATTCTACACTGCTGATACGTGCACCACTGTACCATGTATTTCTGTCGTTGAAAACAGTAAAGTCAAAGAAACAGCACAAACTCAACTTTGTAGTAATCCTGGGCAACCAAATTTTGATACTGTGGAATACTTTATTTTTGCTGGAATTAATTTTTGCTGAAAAGGCTTTTTGGACGTTTTACTTGGAATTTATTTTCACTGATTTTTTATGAGATTTATGTGAAATATAGAAAAAAAGTATATTTGCTGGATTTTATTTTCACGGAATCATCCCTTCAGCGAAAATAGCGAAAATAAATTCCAAGCGAAGATAAAGTATTCCACAGTATTTTGCGCATGTATCTTATTACACTATCTCAAAGTACAGTTTTCTGAGAGTTCATCGTGATGGTTACCAGGTGGTAAAAATGCCCAGATGGATGCCCCTGAGAATAACCTGCCTGGATATGTCTCATGTTTGTAAACATTGGTAAATCTGTATTTATCCGGCTAAGTGTCCAGGGTCCTGATTTTGGAAAATTGACATAAAATAGGAATCATTTGAATTGGGATTTTTCTGCCGAAAAACACGTCCAATACGCGTGAACTCAAAATGAATTAAAATGTCAGGGGTTAAACTGCGTAAAATGATTTCCAGTCTGGACAAATTACAGATCAACTGTCATACAAGATCAATAATAATTTACAAATTTACACAGTGAAAATTCATAGTTGTTTGAAAAAATTTTTCAGTGTCTATTTGTACCTTCATTGCCTCTTCATCAAAGTCCAAACCCCCAAAGTCCATGTTGATGTCATTGTTGCCGTCAGACAAAATCCCTACAGCTTCGTCCTAAATTTCGTTGATGTCGTCGCTCACAATTTGGACTTAGCACTTCTAATCCACTGATTTCGCAGTCTGTCAGCTTGGGACTTTTAATTTATTTCGCATTAAAGAGACAAGACAAATGGGGTCGCTCTGATACAATGGCACACGATGCTTTTGTTTCCGACCTTTAAGCATCCGCTTTACCGATTGGCTAAGAATTACATCACTACTAGTGTTTCATCATAGAGGTCAAGTCAACATTGCTTTCTTATCACACTAAACATTTATCAATCATGGTGAAAGTTATTACATGTGCTAACATAAGTGAAAATGTCATGCAATTGTGAAATTTAAAAAAATCATCTCCATTTACCGAATTTATTTGCCCTCTTCAACATATTTTTGAAGAGTTAATGTGGTAATGACTTGACATCTGTATCTGAATAAATTACTGTAAAACATGTTGAAAAGGTGGCATGTAATTTTAGCGAATTGTGGTAAAATGCCGTAATAGCGAAATGTTGATTTAGCGAATCTCTGTCATTGTTGATTTCTTAGTTTGGCGGCCATTTTGAATTGATAATAAAGTCATTAGCGACATCTTGAATTAGCGAATCAGTTCTCTCACTAAATTCGCGAAAAAGACATGTTTTACAGTATTCAACAACTTTGACTGTAAAATTAAGCAGATATGGTGTAGTTGGTGCAATTTGAAATTCAATTGAATCATAGAAAAAAAATGTAGGAAGTGGGCTCATCAAAGCTCTACCTTTTCAATATCTGCCCAAAATTTCATCTATTTTAATAATTCACTCTTAGGACTAGATATACCTTGATCTATTATGCAAAAACTTTTCTTGCAATATCACCTATATTGTGAATGTATTTGGTTCAAAACAAGGACAACGATATTTTACCTTCAATTGTTGTTTCTAAATATGCGCAAAATTTACAACACATTGAGGGCGCTGTCTCTAAATATGCAACAAATGAATACCTTGAGGACAGCTGTTCCTTTAAATATGATCAAAATTAACAACACATTGAGGGCGCTGTCTCTAAATATGGCACAAATGAATACCTTGAGGACGCTGTCCTTTAAATATGATCAAAATTAACAACACATTGAGGGCGCTGTCTCTAAATATGGCACAAATGAATACCTTGAGAACGCTGTTCTTTAAATATAATCGAAATTAACAACACATTGAGGGCGCTGTCTTTAAATATGGCACAAATGAACACCTTGAGGACTCTCTCCTTTAAATTCAATAGAATTAAAAAACATTGAGGGTGCTGTCTCTAAATATGCCTAAAATGAATACCTTGAGGATACTTTTGCTGGTTCCTGCCTCAGGTGTCATGGCGTACCAAGCCACAAGAGGCCGGTAATTAGTAACGAATCCGGTATTCTGATTGGTCCATCACTTTTTTGTTGGTTGTTCTATTTCCCTTGGTTACCTGACGTCAGCGCTTACGCTCGTGGCCGTTCAGGGGTTTCCTTTTACTTTCGAAAGTTGAGCAAATAAAAAAAACTGTTTCTTTTGTTATAAAATTGCACAGAACATCTCAATCAAATATGTAAATCTAGCAGGCAGTATGTATGAGCATGGCTTTATTGTAGCATTGCGATTACTAGTTACCTGCATCTTACCTGCCATTCGCAAAGGACGCCGGAAACCAGCGAAGAGGACACTGTCCTTTAAATATGATCAAATTAAAAACACAATTAGGGTGCAGTCTCTAAATATGCCACAAATGAACACATGAAAAGTTTTTTTAATATGATCAAATTGAATTGTGAACTGTCATCATGTTGCGAGAGGGTGTCACCTGCACACATGCGGGAATTGAGTCCTAAACGACGATAACAACACACACTAAAAATGCAAAGGCTCATGGGTAGATGCTTGTTTGTAAACAATGACGCACTATGGCCACCTGAAGCATGCGCAGGTGACGACTCCCTCGCTTTAAAGTAATAGCAATCTCAGCTTTTCATCAAATGAAATGAATTAAAACAAATGTGTTTTAATCTACTTTAGGTAAAACAAAAACAGAATACCCAGAATTTATTCATTTTGAAATAAATTGTCCTACTGGGCAATATATGGATTTTATCAGCTTTACTTTGTCATGGAACATTAGTTTTATGATTTCACA